GTTGTGATTCTACCCACCTCAGCCTCCCAACAGTGTGCTGGAATTACGAGGCCGTTGAAACCAGGCGTCGCCCAGCCAGCCCCGTGTAAAGGTCTTATATACTGAGCAACTTGATACGGCAGCTTGGTCTAGCAGCCACATCAAGAATCCAAGAGGCAGCCTGCACCATGCTCTAGGCTGGACGGTGCCTCATCACAGCGTGGCTTCCCTCCAGGCTCGCTACTGGATGGCCGCGCCTGGCAAAGCATTGCCGTTGGTTGCCAGTTACCATCTGTGTCTTGATGTGTTACCTACAATCTCCCCAGCCCACCCATTAATCCCACTCTTCTCCATTTGCTTTCTTGCTGTCCTCTGGCCACTAAAGCCTTCGATTTTACCCTTTCCTCTTTTTATACTAACTTTGAACAAGTTTGATCTTTTATTCAAGTTTCTGCCCTTTTCAGATTTCATCATGGTAATTTTTAGACTCAACTCGCTCAGCTTTAGAACATCTTAAAGTCTTCCCTGGTAAATCACGTTCCAGTTATGCTATCATTTTTGGACAGAACAATAGTAATTTCCCATTAAATCTTTTTCAAAAAAAATAAAAGGCTCCAAGGATGAGACTTGAGGGTTACTAAATATGAAGAGTATTCGCCTATTCCTTTGAGTGGCATGCCATGGTGCAGCGGTTCTCATCGCATGGCTGCCAGCAAGCAGCCTCAGCATCTCCTGGGAGCCGATAAGAAATGCACATTCTCAGGTGCACCCAGACCTGCTGGGTCAGAAACTCTAGGGCCAGGACGTAGCAGTTTGTGTTTTAACAGCCCTCCCCGTGAGGCCGATGCACACTTAAGTAGGAGAACCGCTGCCATAATGAACAGAGGATGCTGATGTCTTTGGGGAGTTGTGGGCCAGGCACTTGCCTCCAGGGATCCGCGTGCAGTCAGCCTGGCACCCCAGGCGCTGTGCTTGCTCCAAGCCCTGCCTGCAGGTAGGAGTGCCTGTGAGGGGGAAGCACGGTGCTGCTTCTTGTCCAGGCATCACGGGAAAGGACTAAATTACCTCCACCAGGATTATCTTGGATCTTGATTTCTGGCTGTAGATTCCTTTGGAGTCTGAAGTGCCAATATGTAATCTGGGGTGCAAGGCAGTGGGGGAAAAACCCAGTTCTTGTTCTGGAAGCATTAGCTTTATAGGGGGAAAATGTGGAGGGACATTTAGGCAATCTAGCTAGTAAATAAATACCCACTGTTTAGTATAAATTTAGGTTATTTTGCAGAATACAAAATTCTCACTTTTTAAAAAAAGAAAAAAGGAGTCCAAAACCTTTCTCTGCTTTTTAGAAAATAGGCTGTGCTTCTCAGGCCCACCTAGGGTAGAGGCAGCCTCTCCTCTGCTCTCAGACGTGCCTTGTTAAAAAGGTTTGAGAGATAGGGCTCTTCGTAGACTAGCTCTCCCTACCTGAGAAAAGAGGGGCCCATGCCTGAATGAGCTGTGGGCATCCCTACCTTGTTAGAAAAGTCTGTGGTTTCCGTTGTATGTTCTGAGACTACTGGCTGTTTCAGCCAAGTTACAGGCGACCTCCACAGCCCAGAGGGGAAGCCCCATCATGAGAAATTGTGGCTGCACCAGCTGGTGTGAGCGTTCGGGCTTCACTCCCTTCCCAGGGTCTCTGCCTCCAGGCAGTCAGGGCATCAGACCTCAGTGTGACCTCCATGGGCACTTGTGCCTTCATGGGTCTCCCTCCTCCAGAACAAATACCAAAAAATACACTTGACAACTATGTGGGTATAAAGAGAAATATAATCCAGGTTGGATTCTGTGCATTTTTTTTTTCTCTCCTGAATTAAAATATTTTCTTGGGCCTCTGAATGGATCAGGGCCCCAGGCCCCACGCCTGCTGCACCTCATGGAAAAGTTAGCCTTTCAGGGCAGCCTCTTTAAAATCCCTCTGAGTCTTAACCACAGAATAACGAGGCCTTCTGGTTCTTTAGAAAATCGGCTGTGATGGCATCATTGGGTCTGCGGCTAAAGAAGACAGATGCGGGGTCTGCAACGGAGACGGCAAGACCTGCCACGTGGTGAAGGGTGACTTCAGCCACGCCCGGGGGACAGGTGAGTGCTGGCCCAGAGGGCTGCTGTGGCTACAGTGTTTTGTGTCCTTTGCCTAAAGCTACTGATTGCAATCTTCCCTACAATTCATATTTAAGGGCTAGACGGTAATGGATAGGTGACCTGGAACTTCAGTTTCATTTCTGAAAAGCAAGGAAGGACATTTGAGCAAGAATGATGCCTTCAAGTTGCTAGTAGTGAGTAGTTTGCCATGAACGGAAACAGCTCCCCGCTTAGCCCGAGGTCTGTGAATCAGTGGTAACTGCCCTGTGCCAGGAGCTCAGCACTTCCTGGCAGCCCTCTTTCTGATGTGCAGGCAGAGAAGGTGGTAAAGACACTTGCCAAATCATTTTACCTGTCGTTGGAAGACGTCTGCTCTGTGTCTGAATTTTCTGTTAGTAAAAGTAAGATAGCACTTACATTTCTAAAACATGCATGAAGCCGTACAGTCTGGAAAGTCTCAGGTGCCACTGCCAACTGTGACTCCGGAGTACCCGAGCCTCCTGGTCCCCAGGCACAGACATCCCTCAGCACAGTCCCTAGAGAGGGATGCCAGGATTCGGTTGATGGGCCGCCTTCATCTTTCTGCTAGCATGCTTTTTGCAGCTGCAGGCTGTTTGGTCCTACATGGGACACAACTTTCTGATCTCCCATCCTGGAGGACAATGTTTAGGAAAGCGTCTGTGGTTGACACCTAGTGAGGGGAGCACGAGGCAGGCGAGCCACTGGGGAGGGAGCTCTGGCAGCCTTAGCGAGTGTCCACTCACCCCCCATCACCAGGAGAACTTGTGTTGGGAGGAAGGAGCTGAGAAACTTATTTTAATTTCCACAAGTTGCTTTGCATAGAAGCTTTTCAGTTCATTTTCACCTGACAAGAGAACAGAACCACATTTATGCCTCCCTGCCCCACAGAACAGCCCCATAAGGTGAGGCGTGCTCTCCTCTCTGCTTTTCTCTGTGTGGATAGGAAACCTGGTCTGGAAGAAACGTTCCTTCTGGATGCCTGTGGGAAAGGCAACCTACTGCACCAACATTTTGCAGCACCCTGTGAAAGCAAAACCAGAGGAAAATGCAAATGCAAAATGAAATTTATAAATGAAATTTCAGGTGGATTTTAAAGGCAGACAGCTAGTCAGCAAGGCACAGAGCTTAGTGTGAGAACCTGTGCCTGCCACATCAACAGAGAAAGGAGAGGCAGGAGTAGGTTGGTTTGGGGGAAAGTGGCCTCCAGAGCTGCACTGTCCAGTTCAGCAGCCGCTGGCCCCTGGAGACGATCCAAACTGTAATTCATTAAAATGAAACCTACTTAAAAGTTCATCTTTCCGTCTCAGTGGGCAAATTTTGAGTACTCTGTTGCCGCACACGGCCAGCAGCTCCTGTGTTGGGCAGCACTGGCAGAGAATATTCCCAGCATCCCAGAAGGTTCTCCTGGACAGCACGGCTCCAGAGCATGGCCCATTTCTGCTATTCATTTTGGCATACTGGATGCCATTTTCTCTATTGGTACCCCAGCTCCTGGGCTCCTGTGAGAATTTGACCTTGCCTATTGCAGCTGATTCAACATTTAGGAGCAAAACTCCTGCAGTTGGTGAAGGGTTACTACTTATTGTTGGCTTTTCTTTTTTAATAGAAGCATTAGAACCCTTCGTTTATTAAATTGAACATTGTACTGAGGTCCCATAAAGAGAACTGACTACAAGCGTGTGATTCTGTAGAAGACAAGTCAGGTACAGCCAGGCCCACCCCCATCCCCAACCCTGGGCAACTCTGTATGTAGAACACAAAGGAAAGTTCTACCACACATCTAGCATAGGATCTCACTTCTGAGATAACCCAGATTAAGGTCAAAAGTGGTCTTCCTTTGCCCAGACTCTGATCTGTATGCCAGCCCTTGATTTGGCCCAGGCAGACCCAGTCATCTGACCACAGTAACATCCTCCTCTCCTGCCCACCCCTTTCCCTTCTCCATCCACCCCAACCTGGGCCACATCCCTGTCTAGAATGTGAGGTCAGACCCCTATGGCCATGACAGTGAGTCCCTCATGGAAGGATAGACCATACCGAAGCCTCCTTGGGTAACTCCCCCAACCCTGGCTTGCAGCCTAGCACGTGTCCTTCCAGCTGCCAAGGCACAGAAGCCTTACCAAACCTTCAGACAAAAATAAGCACACGTTCACTTCACCTGCCTGGACTGTCATTCTGAGTGATTACCAGTTGTCACACATTCATTTTAAGGTACACAGCAGTTTTTTGTTTTTGTTTTTGTTTTTGTTTTTTTCAAATCCTCACAGCTGGAGTCTTTGAACGTGAGCCCATATCAATATGGATTCTATATATTGAAAATCTGCCTGCAGTACTCGTTTGCACATGAATGAGTCACTGGCTGCCTTTCTAGTATAGTTTCATTCAACACAAACCTGTCATCATGGTCTGACATACTGGAATGCACTTAGACAGAGATACAAATGGTTACCCCCAAGCCCATTCACGCAATGATTATTTATGCAGCATGACTACATTTTAACCAGCAGGTATACAGAAATAAGTTATTGTCCCCACCTCAGGTACAGTTGAGGGAGGAGACCCCCGGGCAAACAGCATTAGCCCATGTGAGCATGAGGTGGAGGCAGCCCAGCAGGCATGCTGTGGGACCCCAAGTTCTGGTGGGGCACCAGACTTAGGCCTCCAAAAGATGAGGGTGGCCCCCAGCACTAAAGGACAAGTAGAAATCAGTTGATAGTGGGGGTAGCAGGAGGACACTTCAGGCTGAAGGGGAAACATATCCTTGCAAGACCCAGCATGGAAATCACAGAAAGACCCCAGGTCAAGAGGCATCTTGGTGACGCCAAGCGCAGCTGAGTGGGTGGATTCACCAGGCCTATCAGTTTAGATAGGAAGGTAACTTTCATCTCTGCTCGCCTCTAAAGAATGAGGGAAGGAGGAATGCCTTATCACCCTTCCGGGTGGATATCAAAGAGAAACTCCACACCAGAAAGATAAAACGGAATCAAATGCTGGATTTTTGCCCAATTTTACGAAGTCCTGACCCCTGCCTGAACTCCTGTGGGTCCTTTTACCAAAGTTCCTGAGCTGAGAATCCAGGGCAGACCCACGCGTGGCAAAGTGTCCAGCCCAGCAGAGCCAAATCTCCCTCTCTGTCATGAGAGGTCCCAGTGTGGCGTCAGGGGAAGTGGTGTCCTGAGTGTAGGATGTTTATTGCCCTCCAGCCTGTTGCTTCCAAACTTTGAACAAATGAGGTCCTCAGCTACTTATCTATGGAAGGAATCAACTCAACTTGGCTATCATATTGCTTTTCTGATGGATGGGCTTCAAAATGCTCATGCCTTGGGCTGGCTTATGACAGTTGAGTTATCTGAACCTAGTAATTTGAGCGTTCTTGGTATGATGCTTTCATTTCATTAAATTGCCATTTTAACAATATTATCTTTATTCCACCCTGCTCCTTGGCACTGAAAAGGTGGCTGGTCAGTCTCCAGGTGACCGGCCCATGGGCAGCCAGGACACACCTGGACTGGAGTCCTCACTGAGAACCAGCCAAGGATACCTGTGGGCTTTGGCTCCCTTTGCTCTTTGTTCTTGCAGAGAACCTTTTCACATAATCAATCCTTAAAAGAAAGGGTGGGGTGAGGATCCCTTTTGAATGTGGATAGATCCGTGTGTCACACATTTGTTCAGTAATTTCCTCTAGAACCCCTGCCACATGCCAGGTTCCATGCTCTGTTTTGTGTGGGTTGTGGAATCTCGTGGGGGCGGAAGTTCACTGTTATGGGCTGATAGTACAAAATGAGGCTTCTTTACACTGTGATGAAGAATCATAAAATGTGCACATAAACCAATTACAACGTATTTCTTTTTCTCAGTTAAGAATGATCTTTGTACGAAGGTATCCACATGTGTGATGGCAGAGGCTGTTCCCAAGTGTTTCTCATGTAAGATGTTGGATGTTACGTGTCGTCCCAGCAGTGACATGCTTGGTGTGACTCTTGCCTGGCTCATGTACCTGAGTGTTTTCTGAACAGAATCGATGGGAATAAGTTGTGTGCGAAGCCATGGATAAACGCAGAGGCCATTAAATGCTTACATAAACTGATGTTGAAGACTGATTACCATAAGAAAAACTATAGGATGAAACAAAATTTAAAGCTATAAAAGATAGAGTCATGGGATCAAGAGCCCAAATAGAAACATATCCTAGCATGCTGGGGATGAGTTTTCTTTCCCCTCAAGCACACCTGGTGCTCTGGCAGAAAATACCCAGGCATGCCAGAGAATTTAGCCTTAGCTGGCACCTTCCTCCATGGAAAAATTTTCATATTTCAGGACTGGTTTCCCTACAGGCAGAGGAGCATTTGGTAACACGCTTCTGGTCTTCATTTGTCTACGCTGGCCTCCCATTGTAAGGGGCGAACTAAGGCACAGTTTAGCCGCATAGGCTTCCCAAACAATGAGTTCTTTTCAATTAGACCCAGGAACAGCCTTTAGGGAGGAACATAAGATAGTAATATTCTTGTGAACAACTTTTGTAACAAGAGAAAACCATAACAAATGCCTCTCCAAACATTTTATGGTCTATTTACAAAACAAAAAAAGAACTCTGATTTTGGGGGAAAGAGTCCAGGTACACATAAGCCAGGGTTTTACCTCTAGTCCATCATGGTACTTTTTCAGTCCAATGGTTTTCTTCCAAAGATGGTTAATGCTCCTGAAAACATGAGGGAAAATGGGAGCCCCAAATCATCTAACTGCAAGTCTACTCAAGAAATTCAGACAAAAATGATTTCACAGGGAAATTGCTCATAGCCTAGTAATAGTAACTCTAGAAGATTTGAGACAGGTTAAAGGTCAGCATCACTTTGAAGTTCCTTCTTACTACTGGTCCTTAGGGCAGAAATGGCATGTTCTCCTGGAACCATGGCAAAGGCATTGGATTTTATCCATGGCTTCCTCATGAAACCAAATCATGTTCCTGTAACTGGGTTTCTCCTGCTTGGTGGCTGAAGTTAGAATGGGAAATCACTCCAAAGATAAAGCCTTCCTACCTTACCTAAAATGTGAATCTATCTTGTAAATTCTGAGAATAAATCCTACCTCATAATTATTCTTCATGCTTGCAGTGTGGTGGTATCTGGCATCCACATCGTGGGGTGTCTGGCCTGAGAGACGCCAAGAAGCTTTGGGACTTGGTGATGGTACTCTTTCCCTTCCTGGTGGCTCTTCACACATGCCTCAGGTGGAAGCTCTGGGTCAGAGCAGGGGTTGGAGGACTGTGAGCCTGAGGCAGTTTCCCTGGTTTGTGGACAGAGGGCCTGCCTTTCAGTTCAGGGACTTTTTCATTGGTTCTTTTTTTTTTTTTTTTTTTTAGACAGAGTCACCCAGGCTGGAGTGCAGTGGCACGAGCTCAGCTCACTGCAACCTCCCCCTCCCGGGTTCAAGCTATTTCCCCGCCTCAACCTCCTGTGTAGCTGAGATTATAGGCACGTGCCACCATGCCTGGCTATTTTTTGTATTTTTTAGTAGAGATGGAGTTTCACCATGTTGTTCAGGCTAGTGTTGAACTCCTGACCTCAGGATCCACCCGCCTCAACCTCCCAAAGTGCTGGGATTACAGGCGTGAGCCACTGCGCCTGGCTGGGTTCTTTTTATCACGAACAGAGAAACTTGTCCGAACGGTTAGCAGAGTGCATGCATAAGGACTGCCCTGCGCTGAGAGGTCACCTGAGGGTGAGCTCACTTGAGTAGCGAGTCCATCCTGACCTGCTTTTCATCAGCACCTCCACCAGGGGCACATGAGAAAAGACAGAAAACAGATGTCTTTTCACTGTTGCATCCTGTGCCGTAGTTAAGCTTAAAAATAGATGTGGATACCATGCATCAGCTGCAAAGGTACCTTGCTGTGGAATGAGGGAAAGGAACTGATCAGGGCCCAGTCAGTTCTGTCGGATTCTGCAGATTGGTGATCCCAATGCCAAGGTTTGTTAGTTGCAAAAGATTCCATACAACAGCAGCTTCTTTCAAGAACAGCTCATCCCCCACAAGCAGATCTTGTTTCCAGGCATGTTTGGTAGTTTGAGTGGAAATTCCTCTGAAAAAGATTCTGATCACTTTGACCCTGAACAGCTTTTGTCTCAGTTTTCGACATTTTACTGCCTTACATGCCTGGAATCCAGTCACAGTTGAAACTCCCCAGAAGGAATGGATTTCTCTAAGAGAGATCTGCTATAGAATATTTTGTGCCATAATCCTAAAAGCTGGTTTTCTTGTGGCCAGAATTTTTCAGTAGAGAAGCTTTCCTAGAGCAAAGACAATTTTTAATCAAGAAACCTTGCCCTCACCCTAGAGCCACTGGAGGGGAAGGGACCATGTGCCGGCTGCTGTGGCAAGCCAGTGTCACTATTCCCAAGTCAGATGTGGTTGGAAAGGGTCATACTAGATGACCACACAACTGCCTGGGGATCAGGGCACAACAGTGAGTAGCCCACTGCCCTCAAACTAGACTTTGTGTACATTTGTGAAGTCTCTGCAAACATCCTGCAGGACATTTATTTGTAAACATCCTAGACTAGGTCAATGGCAACCATGCCAAGGCATTTACTGTCAAGGCTGAAGGACACTGCTAAACTTTCTGGCTGAGAAACTCTTTCTGGCTGATTGAACATATGGTTGTTTTCTCGTCTTCCCAAGATCACCTGAAAATGAATGAAAAGTCAGTTCTTGAAAGGTTTAGGGAGGACAAGCACATCTCAGGTGGAAGTTCATCTATGGATGGAATGGAACGAATATACTTGGTTTTGCTGCAATAAACAAGCAAACAAAACTAACGTAAAAGTGCCTCCCAGATCTCAGTGGCTTAACACAAAAGTCTGCTTCCAGCCCCTGCTGCTTGCCCACTGTGGGTTGGCAAGAGGCTCTGCATAGTGAGGTCACTCCTGGAACTAGGCTGGCAGAGACTTTATCTGTTCACATGCTGCCACAGTCACCTTGGCCAGGAAAGGGAGTATGGCAAACCAGACCCGGATGTGCTTCAGGCTCCTGCAGGGAAGAGACACACCTCATTTTCGCTCACATTTTACTGTTCAAAGTCACATGGTCACACACGTTTAAGTGGGTGGTGAAATGTATTACTTCCATATTTCCAGAGAAAAACTTGGAAATATTTGCGGCCAGCACCATAACACAGCAGCCCTAGGAGTTTTACCACAACACAGCACCTCTAGGAAACACCTCTTCATTCTGGTATTTTGGTTGCCAACACAGCAACAGCTCCCTGCACCCAGCAGAAAGCCAATCCTGAGAGTAAACAAATCCTGTGCATCCCCACAGGAGACCACCCAGCTGCCTGGTTCTTGAAGGAGAGTCTGCAACATGAATGAGAAAAACCAAGATAAACTGGGGAAAAAAAAGAAATAAAAAAGAAAAGACCAACGGAAAAAGTAACTCAAATAATAGAAGTTCAAATTCTCTAATAACTATTTGTAGAAAGATTTAAGATGATATTGTAGCCACAAAATAAGAGCAGAATGCCATGGGAAGAAATAATCAGAAAACAAAAAATAGATCTCAAAAATTAAAAAATATGACTATCAGACCAGCCTGAGCAACATGGCGAAACCCTGCCTCTACAAAAAATACAAAAAAATTAGGCAGACACGGTGGTGTGTGCCTGAAGTCCCAGCTACTCAGGAGGCCGGGGTGGGAGGATCGCATGAGCTGGGGTGTGGGGGCAGAGGTTACAGTTAGCTGAGGTCACGCCACTGCACTCCATCCTGGGTAACAGACTGAGACCCTGTCTCAAAAAAAAGAAAAAAGACTATCAAAATCATGCAATAAGGCCAGGCACGGTGACTCACACCTGTAATCCCAGCACTTTGGGAGGCCAAGGTGGGCGGATCAATGAGGATCCAAAGAGAATGCGAAAACCACTCCTGGCTAACCATGGTAAAAAACCCTGTCTCTACTAAAAATATACAAATTAACCGGGCATCATGGCACGTGTCTGTAGTTCCAGCTTATTGGAGGCTGACGCAGGAGAATTTGCTTGAACCCGGGAGGCAAAGATTGCAGTGAGCGAGATTGCAACTGCTGGCACTCCAGCCTGGGCAACAGAAGCAAGACTCTTGGTCTCAAAAAAAAAAAAAAAAAAAGTAAAAGCAAAAAAACAACAAATGATAGACTGACAGTTTTTGCAACATGTCTAGTAAGTAAAGAGTTTGAGTCCAAAAAATATCAAATTATAGTAATATATGTTACACACATTTTTTAAACTACTGCATCTCAACTAAATAAAAGATGGTAGAAAAATGGGCAAAGCTTAAGAACAAGGCCATTAACTGAAAAGGGAAAACAAATGGTCAATAAGTATATAGGACACTGAGCCTCATTGGTTATCAGGGAAATGCAAATTAAACTTATGACAATATCTTTTTACCAAATGGCTTAGCAAATGTTAAGAAGATTGATCTTGTCAAGTATTTAGAAATCTTTGAATAAACCATTTACTCTCATATAGTGTGGATTGGCTTAAATAGTATTTAAACCAAGGTTAGCTTAGCAGTGCCTGTGTTTGACTCAGTGATTCTCACATTAGCTGACCTGGTAGGACATTATATTTATGCACAAGAAGACATGTACAAAGCCATTCATAGAAGTGTTATTTCTTTTCTAAGCAGCTTTATAAAGATATCATTCGCATGCCATATAATTCACCCATTTAAAGTGTGCGATTCAATGAGTTTCAGCACATGCACAAGGTTATGCAGCCATGTATTAGGGTTCTCTAGAGGAACAGAACTAATAGGAGATACACACATACACACATATATATGGGAGTTTATTAAGTAGTGTGTGTGTATGTGTATATTTGTGTGTACGTATGTTTGTGTGTGTATATATAGGGGAGTTTATTAAGTATTAACTTGATCGCAAGGTCCCA